GCGTGTGCGGGGGGCGCGGTGTTCAGCAGACGGACAGGTCAGATGCTCTGTCATTGGTGTGGGGTTTCCCCCCAGGGGGCTTGGAAAAGACATTTCAGGTTTTGAGGTAGGGGGCAGGGAGAAGCACACGGGAAGGATGGGGTTTATACATGACACATGCCTGCGTCCGCAAACATGTATCAGGGCTCCGAGGAGTCAGATAAAGTATCACATGTAGTGACACAGCCTTCCTGTGAGTTACATCTTCTGGGCGCCATACATGTGCAATCGCCTGTCTTTAAAAACAAATTCCTATCTGTTTCCGGATGTGGTCGGCAGCAGGGTAAACAGGGCTTGATCGAGGTAAAAAAGGACGGTTTCAGTTGGGCCGGTGAGAAGGGTCTTTCATGTGTGAGGGGAGCTCCGGTTTTCAGCGGAGGCGGCTTCTCGGGGGGGAGAAGGAACCTCGGGGATTCCGAATGTCAAAATGAGGGACACAAATCACCCCGAAGCATATTTGCATTCTGCAGCCGGGCTGAGCCCGCAGCAGTTACGGTTCGGAAAGTAAACACGCATGAAATCTGATCGCTCTTTATTGCACCGGATGCATTATGAATGACATTGTAATTGACTCCCCTGTAGCTCACTTACCCATCTCTTTTGAAAAATGCAGCATGCAGATTGCTCATGTTTTATGAAAAGGGCACCTTTCTGAATATCGATGCTCTCATCAGGAGGGGCCCGTGAATGCTGGCACCTGCCCCGGCCTTTTGTTCCCCACGCTGGCTTCCTTCCTCCCGGGCAACCCGAGAACCTGCCGGGCCGGGTGCGAGGCCGGCTTCTGCAGTCCGAGCCGGGGCTGTGAATTTCCACGCTCACAGCAGCGGTGGGAAGGCCACGGCCATGTCGGTGTTAATGCAATCCAACGGTTGCCGTCCGTGGCCCGGCGAACCGGGGCCGAAGGTGTGCGATGAGAGCACAGTGGAAAGAAGCCAGAGATAAAAGCCGGAGATGTGGTTCTCGCCACGTCATTAACTAGCAGGTGGGGACAGAGCGTCATTGTGGGTTCTCACCGAGGTGGTGCTCAGTCCTGGGGGAGGAAGACTTGTGGAGTTACATCCTCTTGCACTTGACAGAAATGTTCATGGTGACCTTTAAACCCCAAATGGCAGACAGCAGCTCTGTGTCCCCATTTTATTTTTCATGCACAACACTTTATTTATTCCTAGAGTAACAGTGAAGATAATAGTGTGGTAATTTAAAAAAAAGCATCTTTGCAGGAGGCTGTAAAAAACTTTTTCGTGACAGTCATAATTTTTTTGTAACCTATTTCCCTGGCCTGTACTCCCCTCCACCTCGCCCCCCCCCTCCCCCCACTGCGTTACCAGTTACAGCCGACTGCAGAGGCTGCGTGCCTGCTGCCTGACTGGGGCCTGGAGTTTAACGTCTATGGTAAAGTGGGAGTGGGTCCCAGACCCTCCCCACCCGTCAGGCGGGTCAGCTGGAGGGGCCTCACTGTGGTTGGAGAAGTGGTCCAGGCAGGGCCTGCATCACCCGCTCAAGGGCAGGTCCACCTTGAACACCATCAGCGAGGACCCGTGCTTCCTGCCCCTCTGAGTCCCCAGCTGCTTCAGGATCTAAGCCAGCCGTGGGCAAACTACGGCCCGCAGGCCAGATCCGACCCGTTTGAAATGAATAAAACTAAAAAAAAAAAAAAAAAGACCGTACCCTTTTATGTAATGATGTTTACTTTGAATTTATATTAGTTCACACAAACACTCCATCCATGCTTTTGTTCTGGCCCTCCGGTCCAGTTTAAGAACCCATTGTGGCCCTCGAGTCAAAAAGTTTGCCCACCCCTGATCTAAGCGGTCCTTCAGAGCCTAAAATCGTCCCCACGCGCTGAGCCGGTCGGATGCTTCCCGTGGGGCGGGTTGACACTATTTCCATTAGGAAACCCGGAGAGAGGCCGCTTCCCGGCTCACTTTCCACTCCGAACTGAGGGCGAGGCCAGTGCACAGCCGGGGCGTGTTCCCCGCGGCCCGGGGCCCCTGTGGTCTCGTGGGCTCCAGGGCCATCGGGTCACCTGTGGGCTTTGCCCATTAAGAGCTCGATGGGGTGAGAGCGAGCCCAGCCCCGCACGGGCTCCCGGTGCACAGAGGTGCTCAGTGAGAGGCCGGCTGGTTCTCCCGCACACGTGACCTGGGAGCGTTCGTTTCTGTAAACGCGTATGGATTCCAAGTCCTTCCCGCGAGGACCTCCAGGCTGCTTGCGTTGAGTTTAAGGTCTAAGGCGGGCATTTTTCTAAGGCCATGGCCTCGGTCCAGAGCTGTGTCAGCGCTCGGAGATGCTGCCTCTTATTGGAGATCGGAGACGAGCCACGACCCTGCCTAGCTCTGCCGGCCCGGCACACTCCTTCTCTACCGACACCGTCCTTTTGTTGTTGTTGCTAATCCTCACCCAGGGATATTTTCCCATTGAATTTTAGAGAGAGTGGAAGGGAGGGGAAGAGGCACAGAGAGAAACGTACATCGATGTGAGAGAGGCACATTGATTGGTTGCCTCCGGGGACCGAGCCTGCAACCAAGGTACATGCCCTTGACCAGGAATCGAACTCAGGACCCATCAGCCTGCAGGCCGACACTCTATCCACTGAGCCAAACCAGCAGGGGCTGAAACCGTCTTTTAATAGAAAAGAGGAGCTGACCTGTTGTGCCGTCAGGTAACCAGGGTTGGACGCCGACGGTGGCGAGGGCCACCGGGGGTCGCCCATTTGCAGAGCCTGGATCCCTGCTGGTCCCCAAATGCCCCCCCCTCCCCAATTACAAACAGCGTGTGAGGGCTCCTACCCCTGTACACATACTGACAGGTGTCAGACATCCAAGTAGCTGTAACGGACCCATGTTTGCGTGCTCGCCGCTGTCAATGCTGGGAGCTGGGCCGCGCCCTGGGATTCCCGGGAAGCAGAGCCTGGACGCCTCGTGGACCTGCGGACGGAAGGCCACGGGGCACTCAGATGCGTGTGCGTCTCCCGGGCCTTGAACGGGAGTTGGCATCTCCTGATTGATGGTGGAGACCTTTCTGAGGACAGGCGCGGGCGGGGGGCAGCCAGGCTCCCCATCCGTCTGCCGAGAGCTGACAGTTCCTAATAGTGCGAAGAGCCGGGGAACGTCTCTGTGTTTGGTCATTGCCACTTGGCCACGCCTCTCGAGGCTTCTCAAAGCTTCCATCATTTTCATCTCTCCTTCCTCCTACTCATCTCTCTGTTGTTGTTTTGTTTTCGGATTGAGCTAGCGGTGCTCAATTCTGGCTGAATGGACGAATCAGGGCGAACCTTTATTTATTTTTTCATGTACAAACATTTCCCATGTTTAACCTATGCATGTTGATGAGTTTGGGCCGTATACACACAGATGGTACCGTCCCCACAATCCAGGGGCTGAACTTATCCACAAGCTCTAAAAGCAGCGGTTCTCAACCTGTGGGTCGCAACCCCTTTGGGGGTCGAATGACCCTTTCACAGGGGTCGCCTAAGACCATCGGAAAACACATATTAATTACATACTGTTTTTGTGATTAATCACTATGCTTTAATTATGTTCAATTTGTAACAATGAAAATACATCCTGCATATCAGATATTTACATGATGACTCATAACAGTAGCAAAATTACAGTTATGAAGTAGCAACAAAAATAATTTTATGGTTGGGGGTCACCACAACATGAGGAACTGTATTGAAGGGTCACAGCGTTAGGAAGGTTGAGAACCACTGTCTAAAAGTGTCCGTGCGTGCTTCTGTGGGTTGCTTTTTGTGTGATTTTGGGACATCCGTTGGCATATTTTGAAGCGCACAATGGCATGCCATTCCTGTGGGCGCTACATTTACAACGACCGAACACAGCGTTAGGAAGGTTGAGAACCACTGTCTAAAAGTGTCCGTGCGTGCTTCTGTGGGTTGCTTTTTGTGTGATTTTGGGACATCCCGTTGGCATATTTTGAAGCGCACAATGGCATGCCGTTCCTGTGGGCGCTACATTTACAGCGACCATGACAACCTACCCATCTCGCCAGCCGAAGCTTTATGCCCTCGGAGCTGCAGGTCCCACCCCCAAGGCCCGGCCTGGCCCGGCAGCCCCGTGCCATTCTCCGAGTCTAGGAATCAGCTAGTCTGGATCCCTCACGCAGGCGGCCTCCTGCGGCTGTGCCCTTGGTGACGGGCTTGTTTCACTCAGCAGAGTGTCCTCCACTCCAGCCAAGGTGCTTTCCTTTTTCAGGCTGAATAGCGTCGTTGTGCTCAGTGTCTCTACTGCGTCGTGTTAGTGTGTTCATCTGAGGACGGACATTCGTTTCCTCAGGGCAAACTTTAAAAGCACGTGTGATGGAGCCCGGCCCAGGCCACGGGCAGGGCAGGTGTCTGTGTTGTGTCCTCGACCAGCCTGGGCCTCTACCTGAGCGGGCGGCTGGGGCTTGCAATCAGGGGGGTCTCTTGAGGCTTCTCAGCGGACATTCGTCAGGGGTAGTGGGTCTCGGTCAGGGGGGCTCCCCCAGCCCAGGGGAGGTTTGATAATGTTCAGAGGCATTTTGGGTTGTGACAGTTTTGGGGAAGATGCTACTGGTACCTACGGGGTGGAGGCCAGGGCTGCTGCTGTCTACCCTCCGGTGCCCAGGGCGGCCCTCGGCCCAGCAGCCAGGGACTCCCCAGGTCAGTCGCCAAAACGGCTTTGAATGGAAGGCCCAGCACCCCCCCCCACCCCGCCCCCCGTGTTCAGCTGCAAATCCGACCTTCGACAAGAGGACACGGAGACCGTGAGCTCAACCACGTCACAGTCCTGCCCGAAGGCCCAGCGGCATTTTTCCTGGGGGCGCATCTCGCTCGGAGGAGCTGTGAGGACCTTGATTAAAGGATCAAATGGCCCTCATGCTCCAGTGGCTTCAGAA